TCAAGTGCTGGCTCAGCCACTTGGTATAGAGTGGGGAGCTTGGCTCGGTTTTAAAATGGGAATAGGTACTCATGGAGATGGTTGTAAAGATTAAAGTGGATAACTTCTATAAAGAGCTTCGCTCAGTACCTGCATATGGTTAATGCTCAATAAAAATTCTTTACTCTGAGCCTTTCCAAACCACATTCATCTTTTAATCAGCTCCTGTGGTCACAGAGTGCTTTGAATGTAATCATCAGAAATAAACGGAGACTACCAGAGCCAGGAAAAAAAAAAGTTTATTGGAAGGATATTAATAGCTAAAATTGCTGAGGAAGAGCTGACCAAACAGGTTTTGGGGAAGACAGGAACCTGGGCATTGGGGGTCTCAGAAGCCAGAACACGGAAACCATCCTTTCTGAGATGCTGCTTCCCCTCATAGCTGCCTTAGCTTCTCATTCTTGTCCAGGTGTAAATGCCCAGGAAGGAGAACCAGCTGGCCTGGCTTGGTTTGCGTCCTCCCTTGTGGTCAGACGAGTAGATGTTTGGGATCAGCTACCCTATTAAAGCCACGGGGGGCTGGGAGACAGTTCCACGAGGTCAGGACACTGGGCAGACAATACTACCTGTACTCTGTGGACTTATTGCTAGGTGTCCCCGAGGACCTGCCCAGCGAACTTCTCTTGACTGACTTTCAACTTCTTCTTTGTCAAAATGTAATTACCTTTTGTAATAACCTAACATCATTGCCTCCCATCTTTCCAGATAATCATACTTTCTTTTGAATGATTTCTATAATTTACTCAGACATTCATTTATAAATGTTTATTGAACACCTCCTAGTTGTGAAGTCCTGTTCTGGGGGCTGGTTTACCTCAGTGAACCAAAGAAATCCCTTGCCTTCAAGGACTTACTTTCCCGTGGAAGGAGACAGAAAACCAAAATAAACAAATAAATGTATGATGACATCAAGTGATGATGGTGCTAATGACCAAGTGCTAATGAGGAAAACCATCCGAAGGGAAAGGGAAGGAAGAAGGTGTGTGTGCAGGTATTGCTCAGACCAGCTATTCACGTTTATGTGAGTCTGTCATTCAACTGCTCACATTTTGATTATTTTATTGGTTTACTTGTCTTTTATAAGTGACTAGTCAGCTTCTCCCCTCTAGGAGTGAGCATCTTTTTTTTTTTTTAAGATTTTATTTATTTATTTGACAGAGACAGAGACAGCGAGAGCAGGAACACAAGCAGGGGGAGTGGGAGAGGGAGAAGCAGGCTTCCCGCTGAGCAGGGAGCCTGATGTGGGACTCGATCCCAGGACTCTGAAATCATGACCTGAGCTGAAGGCAGCCGCTTAACGACTGAGCCACCCAGGCATCCTAGGAGTGAGCATCTTAAAGCTGAAGTCATATCATTCATTTCTAGCCCCTAGGCCTTGCCTCACGGTGGATGCTCTGTAAATGTTTGTTGAAGGAATAGATAAGCACATAGAATGGCTATTGGATGATTGTATTTTTCTGCTTGTGACCCAGCCTGCCATTCTCCCACACAGGGCATTGCAGATGGCCTGAGGAGAGGGGGTAATTCCATCTGGGCTCTGCCCTTGTAGGCTCTCTATAAATGTTGCTGACTGACCAATTGGCTAGAAAATACATTTGTATAACCTCCATTTATCCAATCTCTCTTCCCTGGAATAAATTTGGTTTCTTCTTGTTATTATTGCTTTTTATTTTGTCATAACATGCTTTCTGAATTTAAGACCAGCTTTAAGAAAGAAATGAAAAAAGTATCCATTCCTCACAACTTGAGTCACAGAACCATGGCATCAGAATGAATCTTAGCAACTGAAAGCAGCTTAGGAAAGCATCTCGCATAAGTGAGTTTGTGCTATGAGGAACAAGGGCAGTAGCAATGATCCTTTAATGGAAACTAGAATCCTATTAAGTCTATTCCCTCCATACCTGATTTCCATATTTACTGAAGTGGAGAGAACTAGATTAATCCTCATTTAAGTACTCAGTCTTAAAGTAGAAAACAAGAGAATAGAATGTTTTAAAATATTTTTATTGAACATTTTCTAAAATAGCTCAGTATTGATTGCATGATGTTTAAAGGTGGACTCCAGCCTAGCAGAATTCATAGCTTTTCACTTTAGACCATGAATGGACTGCCATGGACACAACTCTGGTTGCGATGGTAGCTATGTTTATAAATGATCAACTGTGCTGTGAATATATTTAGCTTATGCTAAATGCCCCTGAGAGGATGAATATCATCTGTTTCTAGTTTAATTGTGTTTTGGAGCATGGCACATTTTTTTTTTCCAGATGAATAAAATATTAAGCCTTTTCCACTTCCTGAGGAAAGTTAGGGTTGGATTCTGATATTCAAATTACTAGACTTATTAAATCATATTAAAATGAAAATGTAAAGAGCTATTTGATTCTATTTACAAGTTCTTGTCACAATATAGTGCTCAGTGAAAATGCTTTGTTTTGGCATCTAAAAACTGGATATCAACACTGAGACCAGAAATCCTTTTATTCATCATTAGCATGAGTGGATGTCATGGCTGATGGATAAGATAGTTAGAAATCCTGGTGTTGGTAGCTAAACGGTATCCTCATACAACACTTAAAACATTTCAAAGCAGTTTTTATCCAAATGTTCTCAGACTTTCATATCATAAACCTTGAAATTTGTATATGCAACCCAAAATACATAAAGTAACTATTTTAAGCACTGACACCATTAAAAAAGGTTTCACTTCAGGCTTCTGAAAAAGCAAATTTGACCACAGCTGTATTTATTTGCTCGTAAACTATAAACTTCCTGATGGAGATCTTAAAGGAGAAGTAAGGGCCAACTTGAAATGGATGTCAGAAAGGGGTTTTAGAGTAATACATGTACTTTTCTGTATAAAGAGGCCTCGTAATGGTAAGCGACTGCTCCAAAGTTAGCCCACTTCCCCCTTACCTCCTTGTTTCCCCGAAGTGATCATTTAAATTAGCAAGGTATGTGTGTAATCTACAAAATTTCCCTTACGTATGTTTCAACGAAAGCTGCTATTATATAAAAATAGATTCTATACCCTGTTCATTATTTACACCTGCATTCCTATCTACATTCACACCCCTCCCTCCCTCCATCATCAACATCTTAGCAATCTCTGAAAACAAGATAGGTAAGACAGGCTGTATTTCAATGTACTCCTGTGGGCAGATAAATGAAAGTTGTCTGGGGGCATAGAGAACAGGCAGAGCGTTTAATACCTTTCATGTGATGCTCTTCTCCTGCTCTCAGCCCATCTGACTGGGATGCCACCAACGAGCTTGGTCTTTAGTGGCCTGTCCACTCTGATACTAATGGAAGCTGTTGGGGTCCTATGTCAGGTCGGCTCTAGTAACTGCTCTTTTACCTACCTTGCCATTTTAATCAAGTATCCTTTGTTGTTGTTGTTTCAGTAAAATCTGAAAGTCTGAAATGGAGTTAACTATATTTTAAAGTGTAAAACACTGTGAATTCACGTTGACTAGATTCCACATCCTAACAATGAAAATCTGTAAAATACCACTTTTCAAGTTGTGATCTGTTTGTATGTCAACAAAGTAACTATGAGATAAAGAAAAGTATATAAAAGCCATTTCATAGATTTTATTTTCCAGTTAAAAAAATCATGCTTGGAAAGTTTACATTTTATTAAGCCAAAATCTCTTCTAAATATCTATATTATTAAAATGTATAGGTTATTATAAGTAAGAAAAACATTAAGAATCTATCTTAGATCAGAATTCTTATATTGCTGGGACTAAAAATAACATAATAACTATTATTTGTGGAACATCCAGAGGTTCAATAACCTGCCTGAGGTCTTTACCACTAAAAACTATTGCCTCTATTCTACGTTCGAAGGGACAAGTTTATTACCTCTTTGGTAAAACTCCTAGTTCTGCTTTAAGTATATTCAGTACTTTTGTTAAATGCTTGGAAGAATATGAGTCCTTGGTATATTGACTGAGATATATTTCTCAATGACTGGTATATCATCGAATACACAGAAATCGGTAGAATGTTACTTTTTTTCTAACATGTCAGTGGAAACACCTTTTCCTTGAATTATGACAATATTTTAAATAAAGGAGACTGTTTAGAAACCCAAACAGTTGCACATTTCTTGATATTTTATAACTGATAAAAGTGATACTTTGATTTTTAAGAAATCAATGATATGAGTTGGGACTTTTTTTCCCTACATATTTCCCAAGAGGGCTTTGACCCTGTTGATAGTTTTGAAACTATATTAGATGGACTAATTAGATTGTCTAGACTGGTGCCCCCAGAGGTACAAAAGGCACTTTTTTTTTCTAGAGACAGGTGGTACATGTCAGAAACAAAATCTGAGAGACCAGCCCCTCTCCCATGTCCATTGGCAAAGGGATTCAATAGATCACACCCCCTCCTTGAAGTCTTCCCAGTCAAACCCACTCAGCTGAACTGAGTTAGCTCCTCACAGGCTAAACCCTTTGATTATTCCTTTCCCCTGAGCTATGAATCTAATCAATACATTATTCCCATTTATTGACCTATTGTATTGTGATTTCTTATTGTTGCATTAAGGCACTGTGTTTGCTAGTTCTTTTTGGAATGCCCCTAACCTTTGGTACATCTGGAAGGTGGCTCATCTGATGCTTGCTCTGACCTGAAAAATGAAGGCCCATATTCTTGGCTATCCCTTCCCTTGAATCCATGTCCTCTTCCAAGGAATTTGTAAATTTCAGGAAGAGGTCAATGCAAGATTCCCCACTGTGTTAGCCTCCGCCTTCTTTTTCTAGCTGAGTCCTTTCTGCGAAACCCATCTCCAACCCACCTGCCCTCCCGTTCCCAAAACGTGTTATTGACAACTAAAGCCAGGTCACGGGACACCTCATAGGGCTCTGCCACTAAATATGTGGGGATAAATAATATTGTAATCCTTGCAGATATTTGCATTCAGCGTGGTTATTTTGCCTGTTTCCTTTCAGATTGTCTCGGCTTGGTCTCTGGGAACCACCCACTAGTGACAGTCATAAGGTAAGTGTACATTTAAAATTTTCTTTCAATCAGCTGTAAATGGAAATATCAGTTTTGTTCAATGATTTTCACAAAAGACAGTTTCAAATATTTTATTTTCAAATATTTTATCAGTGAACAGTGGCGTAACGACTGGGTGTTTCATATACAGGAAAAGATATTAACCTTTACTTTAACATTTGCGAAAAGGATAATAGGAAGATAGGAAATAAAGCAGGCACTGCCTTTTACCCTGGAATATTACCTGTAGCATAAGAAAGTGTATTCGCAGCCCCTGAGTGGAGTGGTTTCATCTCACCATCTTCATCCCATGCAGCTGCCAGAGTCCTCTCAAGGGGCACATTACAACAGCCTCTACCTTCATTTTAAATTGTGCCGTAGCCCAAGAAAGTATCTCAAATGGCATTAAACCAATCAACATCTAGCACAGAATTTAGCAACTAATGGGCACATAATAGGTATTTGCTGGAGAATGAATGTAGGTGGATTCATTAATCCATTAATCTTCTGCTCTGTGAGGTCCTTGCCACTGTGAGGCAATGTGGTATACTGGTTATTCCCCCAATCTGGAGTGAGACGCTTGGGTTCAGTTCCTGGTTCTGCCACTTAACTAGCTGTATGACTTTGGCTACATGTTTAAACCTCTCAGTATCCCAGTTTTTATGGGGCTAATAACACTACCTATCTTGTTGTTGTTAAGAGGTTATTATAAGGATTAAATGAGTTAATATTTGCAAAATGCTTCAAATAACACCTGACATATAGTAATCTTTGTAAAAATGTTTGCTGAATAAATTAAAATACGTGAAGCATATAGGAACATTCCGAGGTCCCATGTCTAGAGATCGAAAAATTGGTTTGGCCTAGAAGCAATGATACTTCAGTAGCAATAACACGCCTACCACCCAAATCTTGGTTTTAATACTATTTTCCAATAAAAGGAACCAGGGCTCCTTGGAACAATGGCTAATTTAGGACTGGGGCAAGAAATATTCATAATGAGCCTGGAGCATCGTATAGTGCCAGAAAGTAAGGTAGTGCTAAAAGAAAAATGAAAAACAAAAACAAAACGATAAACACCTCACAATGGTGTGACATAAAGTGCATCACAAGGATGCGGGAGTCAACTAAAAGTGCTCCCCATCACCAAAGCTGGAACAATTCGAGCAACAAAATAAAGTAGTGGTATAACCTAAAGCATAAAATAAATATCTATTCAGGTATAAATAATTGGATCAGTATATGAAGAGAATAGACAAATCTCCCATGCTGAAGAATTCCAAATACTCCATGTAGATACTCTGCTTACCAGGAGGTAAAGCATGACTCCCCATGGGGGCTGCACACAGTGATTTTCTTCCAAGGAGTACAGTAGGAAAGTGGGGGTGGGGAGAATTACATACCATCGAGAAACCTGACAAACACTACCTCAAGCCAGGTCATCCAGATTAACATCCGCAGTGATATGTCATCTTGATAGCAGGTATCCTTCACAGGATGTGATAAGAATGATGCTTTACCTCTGGTCCTCTTCCCCAAAACACGTATTACCCCACTCTGGTCACGAGAAAAACATAAGACAAATTTCAATATAGGTACATCCTACAAAATACCTGACTACTGTTCCTCGAAACTATCAAGGTCATTATAAATACTGGCCATCACAACCAAGAGAAGCCTAAGGAGATAAGACCACTGTAATGTGGGATCCTGGGTGGGATCCAGGAACAGAAAAACTAAGGGAATCTGAATAAACTATAGAGTTTAGTTAACAATAATATATCAATGTTAGTTCATTAATTGGGAAAAACGTCCCATATTAATGTAAGATGTTAATGATGAAATCTGGGTATGGGATATATGAGAACTCTCCATATACTAATAATTCTGCAAATCTAAAACTGTTTGAAATAAAACATTTATTTCAAAAAATAAGGAAGTGTGCACATTAAAAAAACTGGTTTGGAGGTATACTCTCCATTTTCCAAGTACAAAATAACAGTATTTTGAAAAATGTTGAATTTAACTAATTTATATTTTGAGAATCATACATGGAGAATTATATTCCGCATTAAAGTTTTGAATTGGATAAAGGTGTACACATCTATAAAGCACTCTGCTATATTTCTGCTATCCTCAAATGGAGGAAGAAGATAACAATTGGCAACACAAACCTTTTTTTGCAAGATTTAACAGTTTTGGGGGGCTCAAAGTAGATTATGACTTGTGCATTAGTTATACATTGCAGCATAACAAATTACCACAAATTTAGTGGCTTAAAACAACATATAATTATTATCCCACAGTTTCTTTGGATCAGGAATCTGGATGCACCTTACCTGGGTCCTCTGCTTCGAGAGTCTCATAAGGGTATAATCAAGATGTTGACTATGCTATGGTCCTTTTGGGAGCTTTTTTTCTTCCAAGTTCATGTGGTTGTAGTTGGAATTCAGTTAAGGTTGTAGGACTGGGGTCCCCTGTTTTCTTGCTGGCTGTCACCTGGGTGTTCTCATCTCCTAGGTGTTACTCAACATTTCTACCCATATGGCTGCTTGCCTCTCACAGGCCCTGTCACAACATGATAAGATGACTTCAGAGCCAGGAGAATCTCTTACTCCAGTCTGCTAAGATGGAGACTTGCGTAATGTAATCTTATCAAGGGAGTGACTCTCCCTTGGGCTTTGTTGTATTCTGTTGGCTAGAAGCTAGTCACAGGCTGTGTCTTCCCTCAAGAGGAGAGGATCATACTAGGGCCTGACTCGTTGGGGATCACCTTAGAGCATATCCACTATATCAGCAGAGTTTTGAGACAGATCTGGGCAGCTGGGCATATATGAGCAAACTAAAGAAGAAGAGAACAAACTGGAAATGCTGGCTTCTTGTTTTCAAGCAAACTACAGCTTGAAGAAAATAAATACATTCCACCCCCTGCCCCCCAACAGAATTATGTTTTAAAAAATACTCTTCAACGTTTAAAAATATTCCTCAAAATTATCAAATGAGAGTTCCAATTATTCAAGATGAAGGAGCCAAAAAGATATATTTGGAGGTCATTCATAAATACATCACATTTTCCTAACTAGTGTTTTCCTTTTTATTAGCAGTGAAGAAATTTGGACAAAATTTCAACATTTCTGCATTTTAAGAACTCGCATTATAAAAGTTTAAATAATATCATCTCATTTTCAACATTTCATGACTTAATTTTTTTCTTTTTTGAGACTGTAGTTTTTAATACTTATGTTTTTAAATTCAGTCTACTAATAATTATTAATAGGTTGATAGTTTAGGTAGTAATTTTTACATTTTACGTGATGCTTAAAATTTGTGTATTTTAAATATATTAAATATTCATTTTTGCTGATTTCTTTTTCTGGATTCTGAATCCTTTTCTTATAAAATGTTAAATACAGAAATACTGGTATTGTCATTTTGCTCCAGTATTGCAATCACCAACCCAGATTTTCAGGATCTCAAAAAAAATTTTTTTTTTCTGATTGCTCCTTATAACACCAAGTGTTCCAGAAATCCTAACATTTCGACATTGGAACAACATTTGCCAAGTTGCTGCTTGCATCTGGAAATAAAGCACATGTATCATTTATTAGACCCTGTGTCTAATTGTGGGTTTGTATCATGTGATCACCATATCTGTGCATCCCCACAGAGATTAATACAAACCTATTAGCTGATTGAGCCAGAGACTTTTGCTGCTTATGTCTCAGATATGCAGCCGCCTTGAAGAAAACAGGCAACTTGTGGAAATGAGGCTTATTAGCAACCAAGCTGAAATGAAAAGAAAATGTATATATTGCAATAATTCAATTAAGAAACTCGCAGAAGGAAGGATTTCTTGTGGGTTCCTCCTCTCTCAACCTTTACTTCTTTTTCAAGTCTTTCTACCTATATTTTTTTCTTTTCACTGCTTGGCTCACAAACAAGCCTTGGGCTGTAGCTATTGGTATCTCTTAGGCAAGGTGTACAAAGGGTTGTTATTCAGAATGGTGAGAACATAGTCACCCGTAGCTATTGGTAAAATAACTCATTTAGCATATAAAGGTCAAAGCTTACTTGCTTTCTTCCTTTGGGTTGTTTTCTTGGTGAGAATTAAATAAAGGGATCTTTTTAAAAAAAAAATACCAAATAAGTTAGAGTAAATAGAAGTAACCTTTCCTGCTTGTGAAGGAAGTATTCAGTGAAAACCCAGAAGAAGAGCATTCAGCTTTTGCTGGAAGGTCACAGGATAAAGCCATTCTTTATCAGAGCTGAATTCAGTGGAAGGTCTTGGGATTTGCCAAGGTGGTTGGCCCATGGTGGTCATCAGATCTCTTTCCCTCAGTTTTAGAAGGACTTAGTCTTGCCTTTGCCATCTGTTTTAATATATAAATCTGATACTTTCACCTATTACTGAAATTCTGGATTTATTTATTATGATTGGAACAACCATTAGCTCTTTGCATTTAAAAAGCTGGACTTAATTTTGCATCATGGTGATTAAATCCAAGTTGGATTTCCTTGTTTGGGAGTGCTGAGGTAGCAATTGGTTGTGGCTGACTTGGTCGTCTTTTGGCATAAGCTAGGCTTTCACCGAGTCTTTCAATCTGTCTCTTTATTTGGTACTGATCTTGGGGTCCCATGTACCCTAGTGAAGCTGAAACTGCCTCCTTCCACACTGAGCTCTTCTTTTCCCCAGTTTCCGCTTACACATATATTCCGTGCTTGGTCATTCCTGTGTTGTCTTACACATCCATTGTTTGCTATTGATAATTACCCTCCACAAAAAGACTATAAGCTCTTTGAGGGCAAAGATTCTGCCTTCTTATCTTTTATGCCTCACAAGGCTCAGGGTCCTCAGCGCTTGAGGCCCACCTGCCACCATGACCCATGCCTGCAACTCTTAAACACCTGATCAAATAGTGTTTCCTCAAATCAAAGGAATTATATACCTTCCATTTGCCTCACTCTGTGCTGGGGGCCACAAAGGTGGGGCCAGTCCAACA